ATGCAAAAGCAATCGGTTGCTCGTTGCCTTCTTTATCAACATGCGAAATAACACTACCTAACCCATATGATGACGCATTGCAAGCGATTTTAAGTGGTTTATTCATGTCATAATGAACTAATAACTTGGTATCTGTCAACTTCTGTTTACAAATCATAAAAGCTTTATCGCATTCCTTTGACCAGAAACAAGGAGTATCTTTCTGCAAAAGTTCATGCAAGGGGTTTAGCATGGTTGATAAGTTGGGTAGAAATTTCCCATAATAATTAATAAGTCCAAGAAATGACTTTAACTCTGAAACGTTTGTAGGCACTGGCGCATTATTAATCGCCTCAACTTTTTCCGCTAGTGGATGAAAACCATTACTATCCACTTTATAACCTAAATAGTTCACACTAGGTTTCATGAAAACACACTTAGAAAGTTTAAGTCTAACACCAAACTTTTCTAGTCTCTGAAGAACCATTTCAACACGACTTAAATGTTCTTCCATCGTAGGAGCACTAATTAAGATGTCATCTAATCTGCACATCACTCCTTCCATACCATGAAGTATTTGCTCTAATGTACGCACTCGACAGATCAAGTTTACTAAAAACCATTCCACCGGCTAGCGTCGCAAAGATGTCCTCTGCATTAGGTAATGGGTATTGCTGTACCTCAATACATTTATTCACAGTTACTTTATAGTCTCCGCAAATTCTTATCGAACGTTCAGGATTTGGGCACTACAACAATCGGCTTTGCCCACGGGCTATAATCGACTTTAGAAATTACACCACTACTTTCCAATCGATCCAGTTCCCTTTCCACCATCTCTTTAATCGCGTATGGTATTGGTCGCAGTTTATAAAATATCGGTGTCGCCGTGTCTTTCAGACGTATATTAGCCTTGTGAACTTTAATGACTCCAAAACCTTCCGCAAAAACCATAGGAAACTTCTTAATCCAAGGTTGAATATCAAACTCAGCTTGTACTCTAAAAATATTCAACCAATCCAGCTTCAGTTTTTGTAACCAGTTTCTTCCTATAAGTGCTGCCGGGTTAGCATCTTTAACTACGACAACTGGCAAAACAACTGTCTGATTTTTATACGTAACTGTAACTTCCAATTCACCCATCAAATTCAAAACTTCACCAGAGTATGTCTTTAAAACCACGCTTGAGGGTTTTAACACACAATTTGAAAAGTGTTCAAGATACAAGTTAGCTGGCATTACTGACAATGCTGCACCGGTGTCAACTTCCATCTCAACTTCAGTTTTATTCATCAAAACACGAACTTTGTAAGCAGCTCTCCTTCCCTCACCAAAGTAAACAGACCATAACCCAAATTCTTCAGCTGGTACATTATTTGTAGAAACTGACGTTTATTACACATTTTAGAAATACTTCCTCTTTCCTGGCACATGAAACATTTTTCATTTCTAAAAGGGCACTTAAAATGTTTATGGTTAGAATTTCCGCAACGAAAACATTTCACATCCGCTGACGTAGAATTCTTGCTCTGAAAATTTTGACGATTACCATTGTAATGTTTCTGACTTTTATTCTGATTACCGCTGTAACCACCTGTACTATAACCATAAGACTTTGATTTACTTGTATGTCCACCAAATTTTCCTCTATGTAACTTGTTTACACTGACGGCTGGTGATGTTGTCCCTTTAAGTTCCATTGAATCCTTCTCAGCTAATTCAATAGCCTGTGCAGTATCTGTTGCCATTCTCAACGTTAGACCTACTGTCGCCAACAATCTCTTCTGTATAACTCACACACTAGCCTATCACGAAGAGCTTGATTTAAAAAATCTCCAAAATCACAATTTTCTCAAAGCTACCATATAGTCAGCTACTGATTCGCCATCATTTTGGTCTCGACGATGAAATTTATATCGTTCTGCAATAACGGTGTTGGTGTGAAATGTCTCTTCAACGTATCAATCAAAACATCGTAAGTATGTGTACTGGGCAGAACCGGGGCTAATAAATTTTTCAACAAACCATATGTCTGTTGACCAACCACTGTCAAAAATATCGGCACCTTCTTTCCGTCTTCGACGTCGTTAGCAATAAAATACTGGCTCATACATTCTTCATAACAAACGAATGACTCCTTCACTTCGTCGAACTCAGAAATTTTAGCAATCTCTGCCATGGCTATGACAATCCCAAAAGATATTCCTAGAATATTCATAGGTAGGCTACCTTTCTTGTAATGTCTTCGATTCATTTTTATCCCACTTCGTCGCCAAATGTGGTATATCTGGCCCTATATACTACATAATAAAGACTCAGACAAGCACATGGTGTTTCAATGATGGCGGCTTTATTGCAACTGCATGTTCAAAGCAGACGTGCAACTAATGACAATAATGTAGACATGCGCGTGATGCAACACACTGTAAATCGGGACCATACGTAAGGCACAACATATATTACAGGGGGTTGATTGGATATATGGTTATTTGCCTTTCACCCTCTTCAATTATCTTAGCTAGTGCGTTAATTTTATACTCGATTAGTGTGTATGTCTTGATTTGTGTTAGCTCTTTAACTAATTAGATACTGTATTTTGCATGTATGGTACTGTATGTAATTCTTTTATTCTTGTCAATTGTGTTAAATTTATGTTCAGATATTGTGCTGATAAGATAAGAATTTTATTGTATCCCAATCTTTAGATATTTTATTGTGTATGTACTGACTTATACAGTATGGGCTGTGTAGGAAGGGCTTGGTTGGCTATATGGTTATTTGCCTTTTATTCTCCTCAATTATCTTAGCCAGTGTGTTAATTTTATGCTCGATTGTTGTGTAATAAGATAAGAATTTATTGCATCCCAACATCCATTGAGGACAACATGCAATACAAACATGTACATAGAATTAGACCAATATGCCAAATAATATATAGTATGTCATGATATGCAATTTATTTCAGCTATCATGCGGATGGTGTCTTTAGGTTTGGGCACGACATCACAATTTGTGACGTGTTTGGCCATTTATTTGTTAAATCTTAAGCCCAACCCACAGTTTTAAGACTGAAATATGATGTCATTTTGTATTATTAGTGTTTATATATGTAGTATTCTTTGTTAAATTTTGTTTTCATTGATATGCATATTTCAGTTGATTAGTCATAATAAATGACATTGTACACCATCCGTTCTTTTATTAGCTTGTTCTTCGCTCGGCTATTGGGGGATGGGGTTAGTTTTGAATGGAGACACAAATAAACATTATTGTCAATAATGATTTTTGTGTTACAGTCCTCGTCCAGGTTTGTTACACTTGATATAGTCCTCGTCTATTTCTTATACATTCCTGATTATGTAAATGAGCTTGGTTCCCGCGTTGTTTTTTCCTGCTCTTTCCATCACAACAGAATTGGCAGTGCCACAGACAGGACGTATTGTGTTTGATCCACGATATTTCCGTTGATAACTCTCCACCTCCCCTGCTCCACCTTGCACTTAATTCTTACAGTACAACTTGGTTAATATGGCTTTTGGCCTGTTTAATGTGCCATTTATTTGTGATATGTGTTTTCATTTGTATCACTATTATTAGTTTTTATACATATAGTATTGTTTGTTTACGAAACTTGTATTCATTGGCCATTTATTTGTTAAATCTTAAGCCCAACCCACAGTTTTAAGACTGAAATATGATGTCATTTTGTATTATTAGTGTTTATATATGTAGTATTCTTTGTTAAAGATTTGTTTTCATTGATATGCATATTTCAGTTGATTAGTCATAATAAATGACATTTTACACCATCCGTTCTTTTGTTAGCTTGTTCTTCACTCGGCTATTGGGGGATGGGGTTAGTTTTGAATGGAGACACAAAAAATATTTGGTAAAAAAGGTGTTCCTTATATGTCGAAGAATACAATAGAAATACAGAAAAGAAATCTCACAAAAAGAAATGAAAATTAACTCTGTATATAAATTTAAAACAACAAACAAGAAAACATTAATATTATAAAGGTACAAGCTATATATGTTGACTCCAAGAATTCAAAAACAGACACCAGATACCACCTGAATATTCAGATATGTCATCAGTTTTTACCATTCTACTGTGAAAGCGTCCATTTGTTTCTCATACGCAGACGGGAACACAAAAAATGGAACATTTCAAATGACTGCATAATTTACCTTGTTCATCCTAGATCTGGGACATAAGGCCACATGCGCTATATTTTACACATGTCAAGGACAGTAACTCAATAAATAGACAAATCTAATTCACGGGGAAATGAAAGGAAAAGGATGGTTAATTCATCTATTGTCATGTGTGCAATTTAAAGGACAAGTGGAAATTTCACCTACTATTCGTCAACTTCAAACTGTCAAGGGTTCATTTAAGTGTGAAACTCTTACAAATTGCATTTCTTTGGATGGTCAATGAATTAACCCATAACCAGTCTACATTATTTTGACGTCATAACGTCAAGTGGTCAGGCTAAATTATGGCTAATGTGAAATATTTTGTATGCCTATTTCAAAAGACTACATGTATGTTTTTTATAATGATATCTACATTTTAAAGCGCCACAGAGCAGCCAGACTGACTGAATGAATGTTCAGTGCTAAAGAAAACAATTATTATTGTTATTATTATTACCAACAGAACATCTGGTCTTGATCAGACAATGTTGGTTATATTCTAATTAGACTACCCACACCAGGAACCTGGGACATTCAGGTCTACAGTCCAGTAGAATATCATTCAAATTGAATTAATCTGAGATCTCATTGTAAATAGCACTGCTACCATGTTTCACTAAAATTTCTCTCCTTTTTGTGGTGTCCGCCTTTTCAAAATTCATTGGACAGTCTTTCATGCTTGAAACAGAAGGGTTGTATTCTCGATTGGGATTTATTTTATGTTCAACTTTCGATTTCTTAGAGCCAACAGCAAGATGGAGTTCTGGGTTTAGTAGATTAAAGCCACTGTTTACTATTACAAAGAGAAATTTGCCTACTGTTTTGATGTAATCTAGCACAGATTTGTTCTGTATTACGCCTTTCATGTGACAACAGTACAACTGCTTGCTTGTTTCCAACTATAAACACAAATTGCATCATAAATATAATCATTTTCTTTGAGCACTAGACATTTTCACCTTGTTTAATCTTTCCATCAGGCATGGAAAAATTATTTCTTTAAAAAATTTCAAGCCCTGATATGTCAGAATAAAAGAATACCAGCCGTTGCCAGGCAAGATATTTTGCAAGAGATGGACAGAGAGCAAGCTAAATAAAAGTGATTTCACGTAAAATCGGGCGCCATAATCCAGGAAGTAACGATCCGATACACGCAAGTATTGAAAGGAACTCAGATCTTTGGGATATAAACATATATTTTAAGTTTCATTGAAATTGGTTAAAAAATGGGACTCTACAAAGTCCACAGCCTATTTGTGTATGGGGAGTGGCCATTTTGTCAGACGGTTTCGGTCTGATTTTCATGAAATTCGAATTCAACTGTCATTATGGTATAGGCCTAATGGTGATCAATTGAAAGCCTTTTTTAGATTGGATAAAACTTGTGACCTCTAGAGGAACAACAAGCGAAAAACATGATTTTTCATACATTCAGGGGCGATAATCCAGGAAATTACGGTCCGACGTGCGTGAATATAGACAGGGACCGAGATCTTTTGGATAGAAACATATATTTAAGTTTCATAAATATCAGATACAAATTGTGGCCTCTAGGGGGGTCCAGAACCTTGGTATTACATACTTTTACACTATTTGCGTAAAAGGGGCGGCCATTTTGTTGAGAACTTTCGGTCCGATTTTCACGAAATTTGAACTCAAACATTATTAGGGTGTTACAATGATATATATTTTTATAATTGGATAGAAATTGTGACCTCTCAAGGATCCCCAATCTGAAATCACGATACAATCAGGGGCAACCAAGATCTTTGGGTTATGTTATAAACATACATTTCAAATTTCATCAAAATCCGATAAAAATTGTGACCTCTATAGAGGTTCCACAACCTTGGTATTACATATGAAATTTGAACTCACCAGTTATTATGGTACGTTATCGAACGGTTTTTTTAATTGGATAATAATGGTGACCTTTAGAGGGATCACAAGCTAAAAATATGATTTTTCGTACAACCAGGGGCCATAATCCAGGAAGGTACAGTCCAATATGTGCAAATATTGAATGGAACTGAGGTCTTTGGGTTATAAACATACATTTCAAGTTTCATCCAAATCAGATAAAAATTGTGACCTGTAGACTGTCCACAACCAGGAACCGATGCAAAGACAATATACGTCCACATAAAAACTTGATATACAATAATTAATAGAACACAATATCAAAAAAGCATTGTTTTATCAAACATTTCGTCAGTAAAAATACTAACTTCTTCAGGGATTAAGAACTAAATACAAAATGACTGGAAGTCAGTTATGACATAGGAAGTTATGAAATCATGGAATGATGACGTCATGGACTTAGATATATAACATGAGGTTAAAGTAAGGTAAATTATGCATGGTTATGAATGATTTTGAAACCCCCTGGATTTAACTCATTTAAATCATTACGCCAAACTGAATCAAGTCATCAAGACTTTCTGCTGTGTTCAGTTTTTTCAGATTTTTATCAGGAATTTTTTGTACTATTGATATAAATAGCAACTCAGTTAATTTCTTACAGTCAAAGAAAGTGATAAGTTAGATAAGTTGTAGCCATTTAACGAACAACTAATCTCCCATGATAATCTACCCTTTTGTAGGGTTAATCATGAGAACAATGAATTTATTATTATCAATAGTTATTAACTAATTGTTGATAGAAATGTAAATAATATTCAATCTTATTAAATTATGAATAATGTCACTGTTTGTTCAGTAAAATATTTTCTGCCGACCATGTCGTTCGGCTCAAACATGACCTTCACATTGAAGCATTGCACATGAACTCAATATGTTGTGAGAATTCTAAACAGCCAGTCTTAATCCGTAAAATTACAGAACCATGTTTTAGAAATTAAAATTTTACGCTCTTCTCATCAATATTTATATTGGAATATGTCTATGAATAGACAAACTCTCAGGCAGGAAAAGGATTATTCTTTACGTCCAACTCGGTATTAATGAATGAATGTAATGTGGTTGAATGGCACGTCAGCTCCAACCATGTTATATTACGTCGATCATATGGTGAATTTTTTCAAGACAAACTAAATGAATCACAATAATTATACATGAATAAAAACAAGTATAACAGTAAACATAATTGAAATTAAATAATGCAATATTTTAAGTATATTAATATTAAAAATATAGAAAAAACAAGAATATATTAAGAGGAACCTCGACCAAGACTTTGACATTTTGCAATTATAATTTTATATTTAAAAATATATTTGAAACATCTTCTGAATTAGGACGATTCTGTTTCTCGGATATTCCATAATGATTGGGTGGGACTGGGGATTCCAATGAAGTAATTTATCAATTATTCACCCCTCGTCGTCACCTAGGTTACTATCCTGCCTACTAGGGGATGGACTAAGATGAATAACCTGTGCATGGCCTCTGGGCTTGATGAGGGATATACTCAAGACAGAAAGTAACAAGCCAACAGTGAGGCTGATGCTGAAATCTCAAAATAAATAGTGACACATATTAATTAATAGCACATTTATTATTTTCAAAAGTATCAAGCAATCAAACTGATTATCAATTATACACTAAGTTTCATCACTCTCTATTAGATAGAATCAAAGTTATTTTGTCCCAAAGTATCGATCAATGAAATTGCTTACCTCTGCTTAGCTTTAGCTCGAAATGTTTATCATTGAACTCAGTCAAGACATTCACCTAATGAACATTTACAACAAGTTTAAACATTCTACCTCAATTAAAAGCAGAGTTGTTATGTTGTTATGTTCCAAAGTCTTGACCAATCAAATTACTTATCGCTCTTTAGCCTAAGCAGAAAATTCTCATCATCGAACTTAGTCAAGGTAAATGAATCTATACTTCAAGTTTCATCACTCTCACTTAATTAAAAACAAAGTTTTCGTGCCCCAAAGCATCAACCAATCAGATTTGCTTATCTCTGCTTACCCTAAGCAGAAAATGCTACTCCATCAAGGCATTGATCTAATAAACACCTACACTAAGTTGGAACGTTCTAGCTCAATTAGAAGGAGAGTTATTGTGTTCCAAAGTCTCGGCCAATCAAATTGTTTATCGCTCTGCTTACCCTGAGCAGAAAATGCTCATTATCGAACTTAGTAAAGGTATTGATGTAATGAAACTATACACCAAGTTTCATCACTCTCACTTAATTAGAACTAAAACTATCGTGTCCCAAAGCATCAACCAATCAAATTCCTTATCTCTGCTTACCCTAAGCAGAAAATTCTCATCTTCGAACTCCATCGAGGCATTCACCTAATAAACACCTACACCAAGTTTGAACATTCTAGCTCAATTAGAAGGAGAGTTATTGTGTCGTCCCAAAAAGTGTGACGGGCGGACGGACGGACAGGCAGACGAACCCATTTCAATAGTCCCCTACTTTCTAAGAAAGGCTGGGGACAAAAATACTACTCCAACCTGATTGACCCAAATCGACTCTCAAAGAAATGTTACTAGGACACAAAGGTTGTTATGCAGAGTGAAAAAATAACAAAGCAATGAAAATTGGAAAGACGTACATACCAGAGAGCTAAAACAACCAAAGCCGACTGATCAGATCAGAGTGGGCCATCTAGGTGAACCATAGGCTAAAGTAATGTGTTGCAGAGAAAGGGCTCGGAAGACAAATCCCTATTCAATCACAAGGATTCCACTTCCTCACAGTAAAAACGTCCCATTACAGGGATCCATTTAGTCGTCTTTTAAGACACACTGGATATACAAAGGGTATATTACATATCACCCCCTACACCCCAAGGGGGCAACTGGTATTAACATCCCACCATTATTAAGGCCATTTTATATCAGTCCCGCAATTGGTCTTAAAAGAGGGACTTCAGTGTACTTAATAGTTTTATTCTAAAACCAATATAAATCTACCGGTAGTTATAAAATGTTTTTGTTATTTATGGGCTGCCAAAGAAGGTGTGTTAGATTGATAAGTTACAACAATACAAACTAATACATCACCAATCATAATAACCTACAATTCTATAATAGATATACATCAAGGTTTAAACAAATATGAAATTTCTTAACAAAAATCCTGTTTTGAACATCAGTTATCTAACAAGAAAATCAATGACACTTCACTGTCAACCGGCATATGTCTTGGTCAACATTAACTGTGACCTGTGCTGGCAACATGAGTCGGAATGCGCAAGTCTAATAATGAACTACAGACAAACCAAATGAAAATATTGAATTTGATTGAAATTGAGATTTTCACAAAAATGAATCTATAAATATACTATCTATTGACCCAAAAGATCAAAATAGCAATAAAGCATTTTAAAACACCTTTATTTGCACATTCTGTAAGAGTACCATATTCTTAAATCTTTCTTTTTTCATAAAATTCTCAGCAGAAATTAGTTACTTTGTAACATTATTGTCTGCTACGAATGTTTGTGTTACGTATTCTCTCAGGTACTCCTTGCTCACGTGACTGTGACGTGGGCGCGCGCCTCGTTCTGGTTGTAATGGCTGATTAATAAAGTTATATTTACTTTTCTCAACGTCTCATTCTGGCTAAATCCCATTAATATAGAACTCTGGGGGCTAATGAAACATGGTGGCAAGTAATTAAGAACCTAGTAAAGAAGGTAAAATGACTTTATTATGCATAGACGTCAAATCTCTGCTGTTTTAAAGTGTTTATTTCTGACGTCACACATCAGGGTCATTCCATGTCAACTGGACCAATCGTGGGAACATGACCCCCTCCCAAAAAATTATAAAAAATATTTGTTATAGTATATGGCCTTAAACTAAGAAATCCAAAATTTTACCTATCTAGGTTGGAAAGTCACTATGTTATGGCCATTTGAAATTAGGGTACTAAAACAGATCATAAATCAGTAATTTTTTTCAGGTTTTC